TATACGTATAACAAGAAACATAGCAAGAAGAAGGCAATAAGGCGATGAAGTGATGGTATATTCAAGCAAACATTCATTTCGTGTGTCTACAACAACGATAAAGCTGGACCGTTAAGGATCGGACGTCCACGTTTGGACTGGTCTGCTTCGGCTGCTTCTGCGATCTGATCTTCTAAGGTTTTTCTTTTGTTGCGCCGGCTGCGGTTGAACAACTTTCTCTTGCCAGGTTGGTCAGTACCAAACCTTGTATTAAAGGCGAAGAGAAGATGTACACACTGGCCTTTGTGGAAAAAGTTATTACACGGGCAAGTGCGAGTAGTTAGATCCACTGACCATCCTTCCTCCGGCTGTTCATCTCTTTCCATTCTAGCCGCATTAGCAACAAGTTGCACAGCCACATCCACAACTTCCATCGACTTCCTCTTCGGCTTCACGTAGATTCGAGGTGTAGCTTTAGAAACGACAAGTACAAAATTGCTGGAGTCGTCGAAGGATGGAGTCTCAACGAGCAGTTGCTGTCGGCGCAAAGCTGTCGCGCGCCGTCGAAGCCTGCTGCTAGCGGTAGATGTTTCATGGAATGCAGCACCCGACACGCTCTCCATTCGACAACAAACTTGAAGTTGACCAAGCAAAGACCCCATTAGCATTCGCTCTCGTAAAGTGTAGGGTTTCTTCAGCTTGGCATTGAACGTTTCCACGGGATTATTTGTAGTTGCCCAACCAACAGGCGTACGGAAGCACTGCCATTTCACAAACTTTCCCGTCAGCCACTGCTGCAGAAAATACTCTCCAAATCGCTCGACATCTGGGTCGGCAAGCCACCTCCGCACTGCAGACGTCTTTTTAGCATGAAATTTCGAGGCGTTTCTTGCGTAATGCATATCAAATATATCGGCCAAGACCAGGCTACGCTTACCGGGTAGTAGATACCTCGTCCGCTCATGAACTTTTGCGATAACGTGGTAAAAGCACATCAAAATCTCTGTTTCACAATCCTCGAACACTGATGCCATCGCATTGTACTGGGCTCCGTCGGCGTCTCCAGGAATGTAGTGCACTACCATCGGCTTCCGCAAAAATCGAGCGTAGATAGCTCGGAGGGATGCAAGCGCACTCGCGTAGTGACGCTCTTCTTGTTGTGACACGACGAACAAAGCAACCAAGTGAAAGGAACGAGAATGGTCAGAAATTCCACAGACAAAGGTAGGATAATCCACTTGGTTCAACTTGTAGGTCGCATCAAAATGCAAAATGAATCTGTGCGGATCACGATCGAGTCGTTTTAAGAGTGTCTTTGTAGTGAAGCCGACAAAAAATGTGCCAGTGTCGATTCCTTCACCAATATTGATGTCTCCATTACAATTCATGTTGCTCGAAAACGAAAATACAGAGCTTTCTTCTTCTAGCCCAGTGTAGGCTTTTGCTCTGATAGCTTCCTCCAGAATATCCAAGTCGTCCGTATTGTTCAATTCAGTCTTGCGGCAATACGTAACAAAACTTTGCGCCTTGCTGAGATGCGGAATTTTTTCCGCAGAGGCACCAACAGCCAGCGCGTTTCAAATTCGAGCAGGTTTCAGACCGTTAACAGCTAGTTGGCGCGCCGTTCTCTTTTGTTCCAACGTCAGGCCGCCAGTAGGAGGATCATTTCCTTTCACTTCGTGTAAACCAAGCTCGTAAATATTCACTATGCCGCTTTTGCAGCATACAAGCGTCCTGCATTTCCAACGACACCTCAAAGGTGCGACACACGCATCCGCACACGTAGCTGAAGAACACGAGAAGACCCGGTATCGCATTGTGTGAGGTGATGGATCCGTACACACGGCACATATCGATGTGTTGCTGACAGTGACTTTGTGTTTCTTCGCGTGCTTCATGTTCTCCACAATACGCTCGCTTTCCACCTCCGACACCTGCCGATACAGCATAGCCCACGGGAGTGGCTTTCCCATTTGTTAAAGCGGCTGTGTCAGATACATTGTTAGCAATCAAGCAAACAAAATACAATAATTAGGTAGTTTTAGCGTCCGTACGGTAGGTAGAGGATTTCGTCTAGCTACTCACTATGGGCTTACGAGTGCTGCGCGTAGAGAGCAGGGGGAGTCAGGTGGCGTTGTCGGTGGCTGGTCTCGACGTTTCCTACCGCAGATTTTGATTGGATGCGTGTCGGCCAATCTCCGGAGGTTTGTAATCGGCCACTGGTTGGCTAAAATTTAGTTTGTTTGATTACCTGACATTTGGTGGATTGATTGATCTTCTAGTGGATTTGTCAATTCAGCTATGGATTAGTATAGTGTGTTATTTACTGGGCTCACAGATCTGTGGATTAATACTATCTCTGTGGATTGACCTCATAGTACTGTGGACATTTTACGCGTCCTCCTTCCCTACCTATGTGTCTCTGGGGCGGCAGCACTTGTCCTTCCTGTAGCTGCTGCTGCTCCACCAGTTGTCGCCACCGTACGCCGCCGGCCACTCCTGGCTGCCGGCGCGTGTCTTGTGCTCACTATCCTCCGTCGTCTTGCCTAGATGTCCTCAGGGCACGCTCCTTCGCTCGCCATTGACCGAGTCTGTTCAGTCTGGTAGGAGCGGTGCCAGGGATTGGCAATGTCGTCTGATACCGGTGTACCGTACTCCAAACTTGCCCAATAAAATCATTATCGCCACGTCTTTCTCGCCAAATGCTTTCGTGAGCACCTCAAACATCGTATCGTATCGATCCTTCTTGTTCCACGCAGCGGCATGCTTGGGCCAAAGATTAAAGTCCCGGCTTAATAAAAGGTTAACCACCATTTTCTTCTCGATAAAGTGGTATTTGCGAATCGGTATTGCGCTCAGCTTTAGTGCCTCGAAGGCATCCCCAAGCGACTCATCGCCCTTGAGTATACAGTACTTGCAGTCCTACTTGATTTAAATACTTTTGATAGCTTCTCGAGGCCGGGGATATTCACCGAAATCCCCCTCTCCTCTTTATCGTCCACGTCGAGGCTGGAGACTCGCCGAAGTGGTGTTTTCGAATGCGGCTACTGGTGTGTCGACTTGCCTCAGTTTCGAATCCGTTGTAGCGGAGGCGGAGTCAGAACCTACAGAGAGCAATGCAATAACCAATATGACAGCGTAGAGCAGCTTCATCGTCAAGCTTGGGGATTGCATGTTTTCGGAAAACAAAACTGGAAAGTGATACGTTTCGAGTTTCATTTGTATATACCTTTTTCGGCAGCTCACACAAAATTATGTTTACCTGAGTGACTAAACAGCTCTTTATGGGCCATTCTAAAAAAGCGCTACTAAACGCCTTCATCATTCACTGTACACTTTAACAAGCCACGCTGCACGCTGCAGGACGATAGTTCCACTCTAGCTGCAGCAGGAAGCCTTGTATATCTTTACAGGTCAACACCGGCGCTAGCGACAGATTTTAACTGATATTTCACACACTAAAGCTGCATGACATAGCACGCATATGTATAGCAGCGTTCGGCTGTCTTTATCTCTCCAATACAAGTAATTGCTGGCGGAATGTCAGCCTTCATCTCGAGGATAACCAGGATTCCAACAGCTGACGTTGAGCTGCTTGGTGATGTATTTTTTTACAGCAGCAACAGTGCCGAAATATAAGAAATTAATCGTAGTATTAGTAGCCGAATACATGTAGCTGGTACAAGATAATCCTCTTTGAAGTGGTATCTCAAACGGAAGCTGGAGTGAGCCCTATTTTGTATCTTTTAGACATAAAGTACTACTTCGAAGTATTCTTTTAGCAACCAGATTTTGTGGTTTATACTTGTACCAGTTGGATAACTAATTCTCTAGCAAACACGTCTCACTATGCGGTAACAATAGCTCCATACTTTGCTATCTGTAGCCGGTGCTACCAACGACCCGGCTACCATTCGCTGACGGTGTTTCGCAGCGCATCGTGAAGCTCTGATAGTCCACAGAAACGTCAGCGGGGGGCCGTACGAGGTCGAGAGAGCTATCGATGCCTACATGTATTTCGTGGGTAATGCGCTGGGCTATTGGGAGGCGGACGTGCGAGCGAGAAGCGCCCATCGATCGTGCCCAATATGCAACAAACAAGCGTGTATTGACAGCAATAATAATAGCTAGTTTCTTTTTTAATGTTGCCGAAATGACCATCACTCCTGAAAATTTAAGCTCTCTGATTGAAAATGACCCACACTCTTTTAATGGCCATACCGGAGCTTCGCCATCGTCCAGGACGGCGTGGCGTCGAGAGCGACGGGATCCCTTGGAGACGCCGACGACGAGCAGCAGTGCCAAAGACGACTTTGACGTGACCATAGTCAGCTTTATAGTCCACAGCTGATCGTACAGCGGATGCTAAAAGCCTGCGCGGGTCGCGGGTGCAACCGCTCCACCAAGAGCAAGCTTCGCTTCTACCTTTGCATTCCATGCGGCTTGGACAGCATATCCTCACGCAGAGGTCCGTCTGGTAGCTAAAGCTCTGCTGTGAGGCAACTTGGTCGTCTTCATTGCTCCCGACGCACAGCAGCTTCTAGGAGACTCTTTGCCCCCTAGAAAGACTAGCTGTTCATCTCGTCCAGCCCCGTTTCCGCTTCCACTTGTCTCCAATATATCGTTTATGCCCGACGCATCCAACGACATTGCTCTCGTTTTTTTTTAATCTCGTCTTTTTTCTTCTCTGAAAAGTCGAGTATTCGGGTCCCGAATTTCGGGATCTCGACAATGATCTCGTTAGCGATCCAAGGCTTCGACGCCTCAGTTGCCCAGTAGCGATGTCGGCCTGTAGCTACATAATCATGGTGTTACCCACCCGAGCCTCTTATTGGATACAAGTAAAGATCGATTACTGTCCGTTATTTTGTGTACCAGCCACCAATTACCTTCTGCTAAAAAGCTTATTCAAGCTCTCGTTTCCATCCAATCAGATTCCGTTTTGGTCCCACTTCAAGTTCTGTCGCACCTCGTTTGACACCCAGCATCCATCGGATCTCTCCCTCCATTCCACCAAACGCCTTCTCTGCCACGCCAGCGGACGCCTCCAGCTATGAGCGACCAAGTGGTTCTGGGCTACACCGCCGCCATCGTCGCCGTCTTCTTCTACGGAACCTGCTACGTGCCCGCCAAGACCTACGCCACCTACGGTCAGTCCAAATTTTTAGATAGAAATGTTTCTTTATATGATAACATTTGATGTGGTGTACGTAATCTGCAGATGGCATCATTTTCCAGTGGTTTATGGTACGTAAACTCTATTCTAAACGCTAACCATGCTCTAATCGCTAATTCTCGGTCTTTTGTTTCAGTGTTCGGGCATCCTGATGGTGGGCATCGCCTGGGGTTTACTCAGCAACAATTGGTCCCAATACTCCCATTCCGGCATGTTCACGTTCCCCGAGGGGTTATTGGGTGGCGCTTTATTCGCCATCGCCAACCTATTAATCCCAACTGTGGTCAACACGTTGGGTCTCGGCGTGGGTTTTATGCTCTGGAACGCCACCAACATCACGTTGGGTTATTGCGTCTCTCGTCTGGGTCTTTTCGGCGTATCACCCACAATCCCCAACATGCCATGGATCAGTTTGCTGGGCATCGCCTTCATGCTCGCGTCGATCGCAGTCTACGGGACCATTAAACCCACTTTAAAAGCACCCAAAACAAAAAAATCCAAGAAAACCAAGACAAAACCCAACGAAAACGCCGAAAACAGCGGCAGCAACGGCAGCCTCGCCAGTTCAGTGGATGAAAACTCGCCTTTACTGCCGCAATTCGCAGACGACGCGCAGTTGTCGGACAGTTCTCTTAATCGACGCGAGTCGCTGCCGCAAGCGCTCATGCACCCAGAATTACCCAATTTTGGCCCTTATATGATGCCCAACGAGTTGGGTGAACACGTCGAATTAATCGACGCGGAAGCTGAAAAAACCCGCAAGATTTTTGGGATGACGATTGCTCTGCTGGTGGGGGCATTTCTAAGCTGCTGCCTCGTGCCGTTCGTCAACTGGAAGGACAGCTGCACGCCGTCGGACCCTGCGCTCAGTGGACCCATTGTGGAGACGTGCAACCCGCTGAACTTCGTCTTCTCGCAGTGTCTGGGCGTCTACTTGACCAGTACCATCGTCTTTTTACTGTACTCGGTCTTCCATCGATTCGTACTTAAGCGGTCGATGCCTCGGAGCGTCATGCGTCCCGCTTATATCTGCGGCGTCTTGTGGGGCATCGGCTTGTGTGGCCAACTCTACGCTATTGGAGCGTTAGGCTTCGATCAGATCTTCCCCATCTGCTCTATTGGGCCAGCGATGGTGTCGATGTTGTGGTCAGCTGGATACTTTAAAGAAATCCAGGGACCGAAAAATCTACGGACGCTGGCGCTCGGCACGGCGCTCGTGCTGATCGGCACTGGACTGCGTGTCATCTCGATGTAAAAAAAGAGAATAAATGACACTTTAATTGCATTAATAAAACCCTAAAAAAAAGTAAAGCTGACTCATTGCAGTTTCGTTTCAAATTTAGATCTACTAAATAATACACGTTCAGTCGTTTCTAAAGACTTTTATATTTTTGACCCAGTTAACGGAAGTTTCTGAGCCATTGCCGCTTTTACTCGCCAATTGACAATGGCCCCAGCCAGTGAGAAGCACTCGTGGAGGCTGTCTCTGCGTCGGAAATCCATTACCCTTCAGTCTCCATGCACGACTATCGAATGTGTTGGAAGAAGACCATCAGAACGCCTTCGACCCGAACGCGAGGACCATCAAAGTGTGGGAGCATTTGCTGTTGCTCAGTGTGTTGGTCGAGCCTTTTCTAGTCCCGTACGTCTTAGCGTTCCAGCCGGAGGTGGTGGAATCCGTATCCCCACTTTTCATTGGATTTATGGCGTGTGAAGGAGTTTTCGCCATGGATTTGTATATCCAAGCGCACACTGGATTTTACTCCGACGGGAATCTCATTCGAGACAAGAAACTCACACGTCGTACCTACCTAAGGTCGGTCCAGTTTGTAATGGATATTATCGCGGTGTTACCGTACCAGATTTTGTGGTGATTTACCCGAAATTAGTGGCGAAGTTGCTGCTTTTGAAGCTACTTCGATGGTCCAGAATTCCGCAGTTCGTGTCGAGTCTGGACGAGTTTTACGCCAAATATTTCGTAGTTTTAAAGCTGCTTAAAGTACTGGCGTTTACGGTGTTTTTGGCCCACGTCCAAGCGTGTATCCGGTTCAACTTTCACCACTACAAGATCATCGAAGAAAGTGTTGCTCACAGTCACGCTCTGCATAGTCAGTATCTGGCGTCCATGTTCTGGAGTTTCGGGATCATGACGGGGTTATTCGAGGGAGAGCTCCCGCACCACAGCATCGAGTTCCTGTTCACAATTCTAGTGGCGTTGTGTGGATTTTCCATGTTTACGACTCTCTGCGCGACGATTTTCGTCATTTCCAAGTGCGAAAGCGGCCAAACGGAGGCCATGGAGGCGCGGATTAGCCAGCTCGTTCATGTTTTGTCCTTCCATCGCGTCCCGGAAGATCAACAAACCCAGGCGATTGAATATCTAAAGGTGCGTATTTAAAGATTTTTCTAAAAAAAATTGTTGACCCTAATTTTAGATTTTTTTTTTCAAAGCGCTATTACACCGATACGGAATCCCACGACCGCGAGACTTGTAAACTGCTGTGCCCGTCGATCGCTAATGACATCCAAGTGGAGCTTTGGAAGGCAACCATCGCGGATATTTCCATCTTTGAAGGGTGCACCGACCAGTTTATCGTGGCCATGACGAGTCTACTGGAAATGGTCGCGTTCCCCGCCCAGGCCACATTATTTTCCACAGGGGATCACGGAGATGCCATGTATGTGGTCCACTCTGGAGTTCTCGCTATTAACATCAACTCGGCTATGGTCCGCGAGATCCGCAAAGGCTCCTGCTTCGGAGAACTCTCGGTCTTTTCCTCCATGCCACGTACAGCCACAGTGATCTCGACAACCTATGTAATTTTATACAAATTATCCAGGTTTCACTGCAAACGAGTTCTACAGGGATATCCAGAATGCGCTTCCCTGATTCACCGACACGTCCACCTTTTGTTGAGTCAATTGAGTCAGAGCGCAAGCAACCATGCGTCTTCCTCTTCGAGTTCGTCAATGAAATCTGCAGGAATCCGACGCGCATCAGTTGCCTCGGCCTTTGTGAAAGTTTTATCCAAGCGAGGCAGAACGGCGGCTGTGTTTACCTCTCGGAGGAGCATTCTCTCTTGGCTCGGACGGAGAAGCTCCGTCACTCCGGAATCTGTTGACCAAGGCGACCCAAGTGGAGCAGGGAACGAAGACATGTTTCTATCCCGGAAATCCAAAATCCGCAGATAAAATCTACAAATCCGTACGATCGCCATGACTCTAAGGCAACACTGACAGCGGATTATTTCGGATTATGTCGACTTATCCTGCTTCGAAAATGCATCGATCATCGCTCCACTGTGCGCAAGTGGTGGCTGCTTTTACTGCTGATAAATCTGTATTTCTGCTGGCTTGTGGTGCCCGTTCAAGTGACGTTCCCGCTGTGGCAACGACCAGGGTGGTTCATCCAGCTCTCTCAAATATCGGATTGTGGCTGGATGTTTTCCTGAATTTCAGTTTATCCTTCACGGTGGATTCGGAGTCGATACTGGACCCGAAACGGAGTGCGGAGCGGTATCTATCGAGCTACTTCATCTTCGACCTGCTGTGTGCTCTGCCGTACGAATATCTGCAAATGACAATAGTATGGCCTCATGCGACTGCCTCGTTTGCTGCGGATTTTCCATCTGAGCAAACATCTGAGCGAACTGTCGTATTTTATCCAATGCACCAGCAGACAACAGATTCTTCTGCTTGGGATGCTGCTGTTTATGATTATCCACCTCGTCACATGTATCCACTTCGGGATCTCGTTCTTGGAGGGATTTAATCCGCACCACGAAGAAGCCTGGATATCCTCCATAAATCTATGCTTGAGCAGATTAAACACGACGCACTTGGAAGACTGCAACGGCACAATGTTCGATGAAACGTTGGGTTTTCACGAGCTACAAGCGATTTCTTTCTTGCAATACTCGCGCTCTCTTTACTACGCAGTAGGTGTGCTGGCATCCCCCGGGAAAAGCGTGAAGCCTACCACAGACATGCAACTAATAGCGGCAGTTATTCTCATGTTGAGTGGATTTTTGATCACGGCGATTGTCGTGGATAATGTGCAGAAACGCTTCACAGCCTCAGCCTTCGAGCAGAAGGAGTTCTTCGCTACAAGCACTCGAATCCAGCTCTTCCTGCGTCGCCAGAGCGCCCCGTTAGCTATCCACCACCGTGTAAAATCCTTCTTGGATTATTGGTGGTCTTCCCATCGAGGTGCCGTGATTGGCGAGCTTCTTGCAGATCTCCCACGCCCAATTCGACTCAATGTACTGAAAAGCATCTGCTTGCCGGTGTTACAGACGCTCGCTTTGTTGCAGAACGTGCGCTCAGTGCAGGATAAACTGGAAGATACTATGGTCGAGAATACCAAGTTTATTCTGTACGGCCAAGGAGAAATCGTGTACCGACATGGAGACTCGGTGGTCGGGATGTTTTTCTTACTGGAGGGACAAGTGTACATGGTGGAGAAGGGGGACTCGTCTCGTGAGATCCCTCGAGGCTCGTTCTTTGGCACTGCAGTGCTCACACAACTGGAGCGAGGAGAAGGCTATACGGAGCATGTGAGTGCCAACAGTGGCTGCATTTTACTATTGGTGTCTCGAGACCAACTTCAGGCGATGGAGCTAATTTTTCCGACTCTCAAGGAGGAATTCCTCGCACTGGAACAACGACTGCAAGGCAATAAACTGGCGACTACGCGTGTCATAAAATCCACGGTAACAGTGATATCGTCCCGGATTCTGCAGAATCTGGTATCTACTGTAAAAGAATCTGTCGTCTCTGTACACGACCCAGATTCTCCGTTTGTACTGGCGTGGGAGACGTGGGTGTTCGCCGTGATGACACTTCAGTGGGCTCTGGTGATGCTGCAAGCGTGTTATCCCATGGAAAGTAAGCACAAGGTCGCGGACGCGTTAATGATTTTTCTGGAGCTTTCGTTTGTCTTGGATATTCAGATCCGTTCTCGACTTGGATATTACGAATTCGGAAATAAAATCATGGATCCAGTGCGCATCAAGAGAAAATATCTACGATCCGGAACATTGATGTTGGATATTCTCGCGCTGATCCCGTTTTTTATCGTCAACTTGGCTGTACCCTCAGATAAACGATGGGATCTTCTCAACGTCAACAAGCTCCTGCGCTTGTTCAAAGTCCCGAAACAATTCCGCGCTCTGGAAACGAAGTATCTGAAACACACGACCGAATTGCGACTATTTAAGCTGCTGTACTACACCTTCATGCTGTCGCACTTTTTGGGTTGTATCTGGTTTAATTTCGCATCCAGAGCGGCTGTTCCGAGCTTTGCCAGCGTCGAAGCGAGGACACCAGCGTTCGGAGCCAACCACTGGCTCCCCTCGGAGCAGCTGGAGCACGGCTCGCATGTCCTGCAGTACATGGCGTCGCTGTACTGGTCGTTCGGGCTCATGTCGGCGTCCAGCGAGCCAGAGTTCCCGAAATCCACGGCCCAGTGTTTATTCAGTGCTGTAACCATGACGACGGGTTTTTCCTGATCGCCTACGTGATCGGGAACTTCACGGATATTGTCGAGCTCAACAGCTCCGAGACCAGAGAGTTTAGCGCCAAGATGCGGTCCGTACAGAAAATGTTGGACCATTTCCAGATGCCCGAGGAGCTGCAGCAGCGCGTCAAAACGTTTTTACTGTTTAAACGCTACCACTCCATCACGCAGGAAGGGCTTTTAGTGCGCTGTCTGCCGCCGTCTCTGCTCACGGATATTCGCCTGGTGCACCTGAGGCCGATGATCGAGAAGGTGGAGTTTCTACGAGGCATGGAAGGGTCCATCACGCGGATGTTGGTCTCTCAGTTCATTAATCTCCCGTGGGGAATCTATCTGCAGTTTCGAAGAATCTGGCAGCGACATGTTCTTTATCTTCGCTGGAGTCTTGGATATTCTAGTCCCTGCACGCATAGCAAATCGCCACAGCGGAGCGTTTAAATCTGTGATAAAAAAGCTTGTTGCGAAGCCTAGTGGCGGATCTGGAACGATAGGTTCAAATCTGAAATTTGGAAGTGGCTCTGGAAATCTCACTAAACCTGGAACTCTAATTCGGACTTCAAATCTCGGTGGATCTGGTGCGTTAAATCGCGTTAATCCACTGAAAAAAGAGAATTCCAACTGTGAGCGCCAAGAACAACTGGTGAAATATCTTCGGAGAGAACGGATTATTCACCAATGGCAAACGGAACGCGTGTGTGCAGGCGCAAACCTGCTGTATCTTGTACAGATTATCTCGAGAATCAATGGAGCTCGTGTTCGCCAGATACCCGAAATGGAAGCAGAAAGTGCTGCGGATTGCGAATATCCGACGAGAACAAGACAGAATACTACAACTTTCCCATAAGAGCAACGACGCGGCATGGCTACAATTACTGGGATGATGCTGTCCCGGGCAGATATTATGAATGAACGAGCAGAGCAGCTAAAGGAGAAGCTGGATCACGCACGCTTGAAGCGCAGTGACAGCGAACAGCTCAGTCTTATCAGCATAACGCTGACAGGTTTTGTGAAACGATATATCCAGAATCCATTCATGGATATTATAAATGGGATTATCCATGGCGTTCCCGTTCAGACGAAATTTCACATCGCGTGGCTACGCTTAATGGTATTCTGCACCATGTACGTTGCTGTCATGATACCGTATGATTATCTATGGACGCGCTGAACAGAGTTACACTGGTTGCGACCTCTGCTAACGCTGTGGGACTGCTCTGTGAAGTGACTTTTATTTTGGATATTTGGTCAGCTGGCACATCCAGGAATCTCCGACGTCTCTGGAGCTGTACGAACAAAATCTACGCAGCGTGTACAAGAAGCAGCGGATGTTCTGTGATGTCATTGCTGCGATCCCCTTCTGCGGCGTCTTGTTCGTGTTCAGCTGTCGGCCGTGGATAAAACTTCTACGATGCGTCAAAATCGTCAACGTCATGGGATATTTGGACGAGATAAATCGTCGTAGTGTGGCCAACGAGCTGACCCACTTCTTGCACGTCTGGATGATGTATCTGCTGGTTATCCACTGGGTCGCCTGCAGTTATCTCGCTGTGGCGACAGAGGTAGGCTTTGGGACACAGTGGGAGTCATGGCTACCTTCTCAGGAATTAGAAATTTCCGATCCGGAAAATCCATCCTCGTCCCAATTATCGAAACGTTTCTTACGTGGATTATTCTTCGCTACCACAGCCTTCGTAAAGAAAGCTCGCAACATGAACCCGGAGACTGCAGTGCTATACACTTATCAAATCACACGTAGGCCTCATCACCATGTCGTTCGTGATTGGAGAACTAGCGAGTCTCTTAATCTCGTACATTGGCCTGGAAGTGGATTTTTGCAAAAACCACATCGCAGTGGAGCTCTATCTGGCGTGTCAGTGAGCGTCTAAAATCCAGGACGTACGCGTTTATGACGTCGCTGTGGTCTTCTCACGCTGGCGTCAACTATGACGAACTTTTGGAGGAAATGCCGCGTCCTATTCGCGTTGCTTGTGTGCTATACGCGTCCAAAGAGCCGTTGGATTGGTTCGTAGGTGTTTACTCCCATCTGTTGGAGCGGCAAGAGCGTCGTTGAAGCCTTCACGCTCTCATTGGCTGAGCAAGTGCGATTTGAAGGATATCCTTGAGATGAGAGTGTCGTCACGGAAGGAAGCATCGTTCGAGCCATGTACTTTGTCACAAATGGGCATTTAAACATGCAGAGCAACTCGCTGTTGGATCGACCGGTTGGATTAGGCGCTGGCAGCTACTTCGGGGAGCGTGGGCTGCTTGGATCTTCTATCAGTGTGTATACTGTGCGAACGGTGCGAGCGTGCGACTTGTTCTCTCTTAGCTCGGAGGCGTTTATTCAGGCCATTCAGCAGCATGGATTTTCTTGGTTAGCGTTGGATATTTGTACTCGTTCGTACAAACAGATTAAAGAAAAACGTGTCGTGACGTGCTCGGAACACGAGATGGAAGAGCACTGGGGGGCGGCGTTGCTACTGACTGTCCAAGAGATTAGTAGGCAAGGACAAGCTACTGCTAGTGGTGAAGAATCTGCGGAGCAGGAAGTAGAAACATCTTCCAGTACGGATTTTAAGTTGCTATCTGATGCGGTCGTTAGCAGGAGTGAAACCACAGAAGAAACGAGCATAGACGACGCAGAGTTACCGGCTCATTTGGAGGCGATGACGAAGGTGCTGAAGACCCCGACGACTGTTTTCAAGCGTTTGCACCGCTACTTCACATTATGCTGACCACAGATCCACTGGATTGGAGCACAACGCTCTCCACACCGTCAACTACTAGAGATGCCAACAAGACATAGGCTGAAAGGCATTGTCTATTTTTAAGAAAACGCTGCTTCTAAAGAGTGAGATTTGAATATAACGTTGCATCGCCAAGCGTACCGTATTTCTCTTAAAATAAAAAAAAGCTAGCGTATGCCTGAAATCAAAGCAACAAATACAGAAGCCCCCCCCCCTGAATAAGCGTAGCCTGTACTTTATATACCTTCTTATATCGGATCACATGGATTGGGGATACCTTTGACAAATCACAAAGCACCTATGTAAGTTAACCCCTCTGTTACCAACGTCGTAAGTTACGACTTTGAGTAGGGCGAAAGTCGTAACTTACGACGTAATTCGAGCCTTCAAACAGAAAATGGCTCGAAAAAAGAGGACACGATACTTTAACCAAGTCAAAGTTTGGAGGCAAATTATATAAGCTGAAAGAGGTCGATTCGGCAAATGTAAAAGAAAGGGTGGAGGAAGGGTAGATGTGCTGCACCGAACAGAATGATGAGTGGCCGAGAGCGCCGACTCGAGCCACTGGTGTCTCATTCAAGAACTTGCCACTATGGCGAGAGTTCGATCAAGTACGCGGACGAAGCAATCAGCAGTTGCCAGCACGATGGACGTGCGTGCCATCGACTTCAAGCATCTCTGGCGGCAGCTACGTGCAGTGGGATGGACGTCGAAGAGACCTTCCGGTGGACTTGCGAAGGAGTGGACGTACACGTCGCCGGACGGGAAGTCGCTCACTGGTGCGAAGCTCGTATATGGTTATGTGCTTCATTTGTCTAATTTATATCACTTGTCTAGGGGAGGATGCTGTGGTGGCTTATGCAATCGAGACTGGGCTTATTGCTGAAGAGAGTGGCGACAGTGAGAGGGAGGTGGGCAGTGATGAGGTCGTGCCGGTGGACGTTACAGTGACGGCGTCACAGATAGACACATCCATCGCGCTGTCGGCCAACACCTTATCGGCGATGTTTGGCACGGACAGTGACCCCCAGTCGGAAGCGGAGGATACGTTGGAGCAGTCAGATCGAGAGATGGTCGTGGGGGCGTTCCAGCGGCTCCTGTCAGGCGCCGAGTCGAGCAATTCGGACGACAACGATGATGGTTGCGCCAGTGTGGAGGAGGAAGGCGCAAGTGTGTGTGGAGGTGAGACTGTGGAGGATGACTGCCGTGTGGCACTGCCGGTAACCGACGTGAATGTTATGGGCGATGGAGATCTTTCGGATGAATACGAGGCCGTCGATTCTAGTGGCAGCGACAGCAGCGACAATAGTGGCGACGATATCATCGTGAGGCGTGAGTACCCCGACGACACACTTGAGGACGATGAAGACGTTGCTCTGATGGACGACGCATTTGTCGAGGCGTTAGGTGGCAAATTAACACTGGAGTCGATCGACAAGGCCGCACTCCGGAGCTTTGAATGGAGTCCTCCTTCGTCCATCTTCGAAGCTGACAGTGGAGGGTACCCTCGCCTGTCTACGGACGTCGCCGTACCGATCAGGGAGCTACAGGACATTGCGGATTCTCCCTTGCTGCTTCTATTTTACTTCCTACCAAAATCACTGTGGGTTACCATCACCAAGGAGACAAATCGCTACAAGAAGCAGACAGTACACGCCAGAGCTAAGCGAATCCGACAGAAGCAAAGGAAACGCACTGTACCAGCCCCCGAGACTGTTAAGCAGATTGAAAGGCGATTGCGCGTCGAGGCTGCGTACGAAACTCATGAGATACTCCACGTCATTGGGCTCTTAGTGGCAAGAATGCTGAACCCAATGACGCGTCGCTACCTGGCCACGGGTCCGGTCATGGCAGAGGACTCTATTCGTCGTAACGTCAAGATGGTCGGGCCGTCTTGCGTCAAATGCCCAAAGTTAGTTACTGATTACCAACGCTGGATGGGCGGAGTTGATGTACATGATCAACTTCGCCTGCAGTCCTATTCAATCCAAACGGCTTTCCGTTTCAGGAAGTATTACAAGTCACTGTTCATGGGTTTCATGGACATGGCACTCGTCAATGCGTATCTCACACACAAGGAAACATGCCGGATCAAGAGGCTGGTACCAAAAGATCGTGGAGAATGGTATCTTCTACTTCATAAGCAATTGATGCAGCTCAAAGCCGACGACTTCATTGAAGCTACTGCTCCTACACCTTCTCCTATGGCTCGCTCTCGCAAGCGCCGCCGACTAGACGGTCACAAACACATCCAGTTCGACGACTGGGTCACCGTTTCAGGCACCCAAAAGCGCCGGCAACGCTCTTGCAAAGTATGCGCTCTTCTACGAGGCGATCGAAAAAAATCCTTTCAAACGACCTATTATTGTGAGGATTGCTCACACGCAGACGCAAAGTGCTTCCTCTGCCCCAAGTCGCGCCATAGCTACGGAGGCGTGCGCAAAACATGCTATCAGATTTGGCACGAAGACTTTGACAGTGGGGCTTCCATCCCAGCATCGCTCGGCAAGCGAGTCGTCTTGCGACGATCAGCCAAGGCTGGTACTCGAAAACCAACTCGGCGTGAGCTGCTCTGTCAACAAGACGGCGAGGCCGACAATGAAGAGGATCAGCCAGCTCAGCAATCGGCAATCGTTTGAATGCGTTTGGACAGCACTTAGTTTATGTAAATGTAGCTCTTTCTCTGTTGTACGAGGATCTCTACGGATGTGTAAATAGGCATCTGCTTCGACAAAAACAATACTTGAACGTCGTAAGTTATTGCTTTTCGTGATACGACGTGCTCATAATGTCGTAACTCATACGACGTAGCTCAGAATATCCTCTGACAGTTTATAGCGGGAATCCAGTGTGGAAAAGACACATCCATACAAATAAATATACTAAAATAAAGTCGTAACTTACGACGTAAAATAGGCGGTTCCAACACGGATCTTCTGGTAACTGAGGGGTTAATCAGACAACCCCCTACGCTTATTGAGGTCGACTTCTGTACGCGATGGACTCGAGCCCTTAGCATGCCATAAAATTGACTGACTTCTGTAGTGGCGATCGCGTCTGGCTGCCTGTCTTCGCAGTCTTTGGGAGTAAGCGGAACGATGATAGAGCTTTCCCATCGTCGCCGTTGAGTTGAAGACGTCAGTGTCGTCAATGCGGTGATGGGGCAGTATTGCTCTCTATTCACTTAATGGACCTCCTGTGCATGCAGAGCACTACGTCCGGACGCCTGTATACTGGCTACAATCATTTAAGAGCTTCTTGATCTGATCGTCATTTTCTGCCCCACTTCAAGTAGCACAGTGGTCCTCCGAGATGAGATGTAGCGAGGAAGACCTCGTAAACCTCGTTTTGGGGTTACATAATCGTCCGATTCACTATTTATTTCACAGTCTGAGTCGACCTTCAACTCCTTGCTGCCGAAAAGCTTGTCCACTACCTCTGCAGCTCTTGACTGCATTTTGTACTTCGCTTTGAATTCGCGGGGTATCAATCCTCCAGGACGCTGTGTCGCAACCGTGGGATTCACCTAAGTGGATTGTCGACTCAGCCAACCGCGTCGAAGGGACCTGAAGATTCATCGATCATGTTCCATTTTACGTTGAAGTACTTTGGTAACGTTATGCTTAGTAAGCATATCTCAAAGGGACTTGTATCGACTGTGTGCCATTTCCTAGCCACTTGTACATGCTAGAGTATTGATAATCCTCTCAATCTGAAGATCGTCTAGACTTCTCAGTACGAGGATGTTTAACGGCACGAAGATAAAGCCCAGTAACGCTTGGATTGCGGACGAAGGAAAAAGAAATAACCCCAAAGGTGCGGCGAGTGTTTGCCGTTACTAAGCACCGGGGCAACTCACTCATTAACTGTACTACATGAATTAATATGTTACGTTTCGTGTGATTCCAGTTGTAATCATTTGAACAAGAAAAAACTTGAAGATGACGCGGTTTTACCTTTTCAAGGTATCCACAATAATTAAAATAATTTTGACAAATCGAATGTAATGCTACCTTTAATTAAAATACGATAAAATCCTGGAAATCAGATATGTATGGCGAGCTACCTATAAAGTCAAATACCAGTCGAGAGAAACTCGATGAGCCGGTTGAGCCCATCGGCTATCACCTT